ACAAGAATATTCTAACGTCTTACCCTCTGAGGAACTGTGGAAGTTAGTGATACCCAAGGAGAAGCGCTACGTTATAGTCAGGAGCGCACATTATCCACCTATCGCGGGACATCTGGGTGTATATAAAACTTTTGCGAGGCTAGCCGGAAGATACTACTGGCCAAAGATACGAAAAGATGTAGCAACCTACTTTCGAAAGTGCCTGGTGTGTACAGCTTATAAAAGTGACTCCCGAGGAGGAAAGGATCAAATGGTGTCCTTTCCCAAACCATGGGAAGTAGTTTCTACAGATCTGATGGGTCCATTATCAAGAATAACAAATATATAAATATATATAAAGGGGAACTCTTATATCCTTGTAGTGGCTGATCACCTTTTTTTTTTCATTGATTTTTCTGCTTAGGAAGGCAACGTCCGCCACCATTATCAAGCGTATTGAAGAGGAAGTATTTTTGATATTTGGTGTTCCCAGAACCAGAACAGAAGATTATACGATAATGGTCCCCAATACAGAAGTAGTGAGTTTGAAAAGTTCTTGTTTAGGTGTGACATCAAATACAATGCCAACTACCACCCCAGGGTAAATTTCACGGAACGGCAAAATCGGACGATCAAGACCATGCTGGCGATGTATGTCAAGGATAGTCGCAGAACTTGGGATGCCGAAATCCATAAATTGAGCTGTGCACTGAGAACTGCGAGGCAGGAGACAACGAAGATGTCACCTTATTTTATTAACTTTGGTCGGAATATATGCCTATCAGGAGAAGACTACGCAAATGGTGACTTAGTCGGAGAAGAGGATGCGACGCAAGCTGCCGAAATTTCAAAGAATGAACTATTTAGGAAGATATATAGCGACGCCAAGAAACGTTTGGAAATTGCTACGGAACAGGGTGTTGCCAGATATAACTCAGGGAAACAGAGTCCGACTTATTCAGTTGGTGACACGGTGCGGCGGAGGAATTATGTTATTTCGGATGCGTCTCCAGCACTTCAGTTATAAACTATCACCAAAGTATTTATTTCCATTTAGAATACGGAGTAAAGTATCTCCTTGGACTTATGGATTAGTTGATGAGGATGGTAAGTTCCAGGGCGTCTGGCAGGCCAAGTTCCCGGGCGTCTGGCAGGCCAAGGGCCATAACCCTCGGGCAGGCGCGCTATCGGCCTTTTATGCCGCCTTTTTACTAATTCAAGGATTCCGAAAATATTGTGGATTTTATCATATTGTCCGTCTAGCTATGTTCAAATGACTATATGAGTAAACCTACTACGCACAATTTACGACCTTAGAGCGCTTGTTCAGATGTCCGTGAGTTCTTGAACTTGCAGGTGTTGAGTTTTCAGCATTCCATGCCGCCAGCGCGCCTAGTCATGTGAGTAAAATTACGAGGGGAATAGTACAAATATTATGAATATTATTTTTGTGTTTTTGCGAAATTAGTATAAAGGATTTCATTTAGTAGCCTAGAATTACAATTTATTTTATTTTTTTGCTCTATTTAAAAATAAATTTTGATATTTAGAATTATTTCGTATGATTTCCTGCTGGCGGCACGCAGTGCCGCAGCGCGCCCGCTAATGTGATTTTCAAACGCGCTCCTGCCTTAGGGTTAAGGAGGATTGTTGGTCATCGGATTAATAGTTGATAGAAATTCCCTGTGCGGACTACGGGAAGACCAAAAAGAATGAAGTTCGTAGGCATATATAGATTGCCTTAATCGTAAGAAGTAATGAGTGCGCGTGGTTTATTGTCCATGTGCTTGGACTGGGCGGTCATTAATTTTGAAGTTGGGGTGCGAAATTGTAAACCAGGCTAAAAATGCAAAATAAGGATAAAAATGGAGGAGGGACAGGGATAGAGTGTTGAAAATCGAAAGTCAGGATTCGGGTCTAGACAATTCGAATCGAATTTACAGGATCAGAATTAGCCATTCCGAAATTAGAAAATGCAAAGCCACAACAAGTGTTTTGTTTATTATTATTCACTTCATTAATTTTGTTTGAGAAACTCACCTTGAACTTGACGTTTTAAAGAAATTATCTGAGAAAAATTATAATTAATAAATTAATATATAAAAACAAATAATTAAATTTGTCCAAGCGTGTTAAAAATAATAATTAATGAGGAATAGTAGACTGTAAAAACGTTCTTAGCACAGGTTAGCTGGCGCTTGGAAGATATTTTCTATAAGCGAGCATTTCCTACTGAGTTTTTACTTTTAAATAATAATTATTCATTATGGAATTACGACCGCTTTTTACAGAATACGATTATGTATTTTTCAAATAATTAATTCGTTAGAACAACATAAATCTCATAATTAATTACCCGAGAAACGGCTTTCTTCTGAAATAACAAAAACCCGTTTCTAAACTAGAAATTTATCTTTTTACGTTTTTAATAATCAACATTAATAATTGTTCATCATCAGAGGCATCAGCATCGGAGGCGCGGGTCTACAACCTGCAGGAAACTGCTGCTTCACAATGGAGTAGAAAATCTGGTTTCATTGAAAAATGTCTGCCTATTATTATGCTCCTCGATAATTGCCAAGAAGTATTTATTAATGTTTTATAACTGGTTATGGAAAAACAAAAGAGCGACGCGGCGCGGTACTTAAAATTATTTACGGATCGTAATCTATTAGTAAAATGACATCTCAAATAAAAACCAACAGATTGTAATTGATTTTGTTTCCTGTTTTTCCCCGATCCGAGCGTGAGAACGCTTTGTTCATTATAGTCTTTGGCATTCGTTTTTGATGGTGACCATTATTACTATTAATGTCCTTTTTTCGTCTACCTTTATTTACGTCATTTAACTTTTTAAAATTAAAGAAGAGTTGACCTATACAGGTATTTGTTTGTCGAGGCCACTCTTAGTTGTTATAACACATGTCGCTTTTTTTCGAGAAACCAACTGCGGTGCCAATAATGAAGGTACGAGCAAAAATAACTGTGAAAGCAAAAACCACCGAAACAATCGCTAAAAACTGCCCAATCGACATCTAAGTATACCAGGTAACGCATTTTAATGTTAATGTTACCAATTAAATAACTTCTTAATTAAGTGCTTTAACAACTTGTCACACCAGAATAAATTCCAGTCAGAGCTCCAACGGGCCAGTTGGGTATTTTAAAATTTTGATTAAAGATTTACCGTTAACGTATTGTACTTTTTCTCGTTTATTGGGTTACCATTTTATTTTTATGGTGATGGTCTTAATTAACTGTTATTGTTTCTGTTCCCATATCCGATTTTGGTTGAGTGACCACTTACGAGAGTCGTTTTCGTTTTCTAATTTATAAACAGCTCTAGAAGATAGTCTAATTTGAATTTTCGAGATAATTAAACGCCTTTTAAATCGATGTTACTATATTTTAAATAACCATTCAACTTATTTATTATGTTAATAAAAAACGTGTAAGCCTCTTAGGAAACATAATATCTACTTTTGATAACTTATCTAACAATCATTAAAAAAAGCAATTTCCTACAAGTAAGAATGTAGATAGGTACCCTTATTGAAAACTTTTCAGACTATTTTCTTGAATGTTTCTATAGGTATTTGAATAATAATATGTTTACCTAAGTTTTTTTTTCGTTAGATTAAATAATATGGGTGTCAAATGGCCGAAAGTGCCAATAAATTAATCTGCGTTCGGTAAGAAATATTTAAATGCCGTTTTTTTTACGAGAACGACATAAGAATTTTATTACTTGGTTTAATGGGCCATTAGCCGGCAACCGGACTGGTGAAAGTTGGAATTGTTTTCCGAACAATAAACATTCATCAATCTTTAATTGGAATAGGTAAATAGCTCGGTATGGACAATGCATTGCCATAAAGACTGCCTTATAAACATTCTGATAGACTTGCTCTAACTTCTTTTGTCTTTACGATTGTTTTCTGTTCTGGTGACGGCTGATGTACAGCTATAGCGGGAAAATTGTTTCGATTCTTTCAGGCCAATTAGAAGAACGTGCCGGTCGGTTTATGCCTTTTTTTATTCGCTATTATTTAATTCCAGAACACACCGGAAAATCACTTTCTGTGCAAATTTTATTGCTAAACTTTATTTTTTTCTTAAAGAACATCTATCGACTTTGAGACTTTTAATACTCAGAATCTATAGTGGGCACGTTAATGTACCTTTCACTTTGTAGTTATGGAAAAGCCACTGTGCACAGGTGTTTGTCGAGTTGATTTACGTTTATTGATTATTGTATCATTTCAACTTCCATTACTCTTCTTTAAACGCTTGAAGATTTCTCATATCAGTATCATCGTCATAAGCATACCTACCTTAAGGTGTTTATACACTCTCCTTTAACTTTAATGCCAGTGTCAACATCTTGTTGAAATATTTGTAGCTAAATAAATATTATAGAGTAGTGAGTCACCACAGTCTTTACCTTGGGTGGGTTCATTTTTTAAAATTTTCATATTGCTCCTATAATGGAAGACATAGTTTGTACTAATTGTACTACCTAAGCGGTACCATGAGCGGAAGAAATTAGATGACCCCCCGTTTGAACACGTTAATGTTAAATCGTTCAAGAAATGAAGTAAACTGAAAAAAGAGTTTATTTTAATGTAATAAAAATGGAGTTTATTCAACAACATATTTGTTTCCTATATGCGAAACAAATGTTTATTTGAAAATTCGTCAATATTTATTTAACCTCTTGCTGGAACTTTTACTTTGACTAAACAAATAATTATTTAATTGAAATGAACCGGTTTTTGAAGCAATGGCATGATTTACTTAATTGAGATAACTTTTTTATTACATAACTAGCATTAATTTTGAAATAAATACCTTATTTATTTGGTTTGAATTAAAAGAAATATAGCTGAATAAACGCAGTTTTCTAACAAATTCATGATTTATTTGGTTGAAATATTCTTTGCTTAACGCAACAAGCCGACTTATTAGATTTGAATTAATATTTATTAATTCTGAACATCCACATCCCCTGGTGTTTTTGCATGCACACAATATATTGCATCTCGAGTCTTAGCTATGGATGGCTTCCACTGTTTCTTGTTTTTCAATCTAGTTCTTGCCTTGGATGGAAGGAGACTTGACAAGAGGCATAGTTTTAGAGAGTTGAAATCTGGAAAAAAAAATCCTAATTATAGTATATTGCATTACCTATTCAATTGCTGACTATTCTACGATTTATCCACTAAATTTTTATATAAAATAAAAAGTTTAGTATATAAATTCAGTTTAGCCTGGATTATAAAAAGAGAAGGAGATTCAGGGTGTTAAATTTGGAATACTTTTTTATCTTATAAAGAAAAAACTCTGTATTATGTTTCCATACCTGTTGTTATTTTTTTAAGAGTGTAGCGATGTCTGTTGAGTTCAAACTGCCATGTTTTAAATAAAATACTTTGTCAAATAAATTGTCAAATTGTTCTTGCAGTGGCAAATTAGCAGATTTGTGAATTTGTTCAAAATCATAGGACATCTGGAAAAAAGAAATGTTCATTTAATATACTAGAATTTCACTATAAAATTAATAGGTAGGTACAAACTCACCAGTTCATATGCTAGCTGCGTTTTTAGTACAGGCCAGTCATCCAAGTATTTTTCTATTTTCGTATTTGTTATCAATTTCCTCACAGAAAACGATTGCCTCCAATGATCTAAAACCTCTGCTGGTGGTAAATCTTTACAAGTGAAACGTGGAACGCAGGTGTAAGGTGTGACTAGTGGTATTACTACTCATACCATGAATACGATGAAGATGAAAAGCGATCCACACCTGCCGCAAGGCGTCTCGGCGAATCAAAAGCAAATCCGCATTGCAAACACAAAACTAATTATTCTGAATAAATATTTATTTTAAAGCAATAATTCTCAACTGCACTTTGTTTGATTCAAGAAAGGCATAGACGAAGCAAATAATAATTATTGAAAAAAGAGCAAGTGACTCATTTTTTTTTTTCGAAAACCGTAGAATATTGCAACCAAATGATATTTATTCAATGAAAACAACATTTATTTGGTTCAAAGTACCAGAATCATGGATACGAGATCTGTTTCACGTGAAAGTTTCTTTCTTCGAATCAAACAAATAAAAATCAAATAAATCTGATAAATTATTCAAATACTTCAGTTTCTTCCAATTTAATAAAGTGTGTTAAACATAAATATATTTCGTTTAGTTCAAATCAAGGAAAATCAAATAAATATTTATTAGATATATTCTAAGAAAATTTTTTCAGTGTAGGAGCAAGGCAGTGGAGCACGGCCGTTCCTGACAAGCGTGCAGTGCGTGCATGCACGCAGGCGCAAAATTTTAGGGGCGCAAACCGCACAAAATCGACGATCATCCAATATTCTTTATTACAAATTAAAAAAACAAAATTTGTCCCCGTCACCAAGGACCTGCTTGCGCCCCAGTTTGTGGGCGCAATTGACCTAAGAGAGCTTAATTGTAATAAAAACAAGTTAGAAAGTAATAAAAGATGACATGCGCGCGCAACTCGTGGGCTGTAGTGTAGCCAGATTGTATTGTTGCGGAACAAATGTAGACAATAAAAATCGAACATTATAACATTAAAGAAGTGATAAACTATCAAGTGTTTAACAACGCCTTGGATCAGACAAAAGAAGAGCTTTGTATGGTAACATCGTTTGCATTTTTTTTTTTTTAATGTTTTATCCGGCAACATCACACAATAAAATTGCAAGGGAATATGTGAAGTATAATCTAACATAACTTTAAACGACACTGCGGTGAAGTCATACGTAAAGTATTAGTTTGCTCTTTGTCAAATTACACGTTACAAAGAAAGAAGGAACGATTAATTCTGAACTGGCCCCTGAATAAAAATATGATGCTATCCCGTAACAAACTCGCTTCTCATTGGACACTCACCTGGAACCCACGAGTTGCGCGCGCAGTCAAGGTAAAAAAAGATAAGTCAATTTGGGTTCTTTGGGACATTCTGTAGTACGAAATCATCCTATCATTCAAGTCAACACCTACCATGGCTCTATTTTAAGCAGTGATACAGGTTGGTCGAAGTATTGTGATATACCATCGTCACCAAAAGTAACTGGGACAGCATCATATTAGCTCTTCTACTATTATATGATTTTTAGTGTCAAATATTTGTCAAACTATGAATCAAATACCCTGAAATGAATGACGTTAGAATTAGTCCAGTAGATTAATATGAATTATTTTTGTCCCAGATACTTTTGGTGACGATGGTACCTTCCTGATTTCTTGTCCCAGCGTTGAACATCTGTAACTGGCAAACTACCTTCTAATGAGGACAACATCAACACCGATCTATTGTCTATCCATTTGGTAATTGGGAGCCGTCCATCTTTCCTCTCTATTTCTTGAAAACTACCTCTTCCATCTTTCATAAGATCTTTGTCAGGACGAATTAGGTTTTTTGCCGAATAAGGTACTTTTTTATAGTTCCGACTCCGTGAATACGTCGATCTTCCAAATAATCAAGAAGGGGATAGGAAGTAAAATATCTGTCCATCAAAAAACCACTTCCTGGAGCTACATTTTCAGTTTTCCCGAAAATTGAATCATTTGCTCATCCTCACTAAGTTCTTTTCTATGTGGAAGCATAGAACATTTTCTTTTGATTGCATCAATAATTGGTTGAACCTTCCATAACCTATTGTTTTTCTTAGTCTCATCAGTAACTTCAAGATTATTTACCAAATGCGTGTTATTACGAAGCTTGAAAATGCTATTGCGAGAAAGTGTTGCTACTGTGGGAATTTGTAAAGTTTTTTTGTGCTACATTCGAACTCTTGGCATATTTAAGCAACCCATTAGAATACAGGAGCCAACTAACTTTTTGTAATCCGAATCAGTGGCTCGGAGTTGTGGTAAATTATCCTGCAAATACTCGAATATTGCTTTGGTTTATAACCAATTTCCAAAATTCATCGTCTAGGTACTGGCAAAAATACCTTAGAGAGGACCAATTCCTTCTCTCTCTCTGACAGTCCATTCTTGATCCATAGCTTCGTCAATATCGGGTTGGAAAATTCTGCTTTCCCATTTCATTTTCTTTCTGTCGGCAGGTGAGTTGTGCCTCGTAATTTCTTTTCTTATTTTTGACAACGGAATGTTATCGTGAATTCGTTCTCTCGTTCAATAATGTCAATGGGATCTTGACAAATCTTGGATATCAGGAGTCTGCACTACGCTTTCGTTCAAATTGATGCCATCATCTTCATCGAAGTCTAATTCGTTCTCATGATCATCGGCGTCACATTCGCTTTCAAAGCCGGGTCTGGAAAGTCTACTGAATTTTGAATAGGTCATCCTCGAATAGTTCTACTAGATACAGAAATGCTATAGTAGGTGAAAAACCTTAAATTTTTAGCTTGGGTCACGATAATTTGCTTGGGTGGCCCCAATGCCTATTTTTTTACATCATTTATGATTTTCAAATTAACTGGCGATGTAATGAACGCGATAAAGATGTTTATTTACGACTAATGTATAATGTGCGTATTATATTTGTGATTTTGGCAGTATAATGACATATTTTATTCCCCCAGGGAATAATAACGAGTAGCGGGATTAATGGTCATTATTCCTCAAAAGTGTCAGTGTCAAACGTGTAGTGCTTGTGGATTTCTATTGAGAATTATGAGACGGATAAAATTTGTTCATTGAAAATCTCAAATAAATTAATTTGTCGTAAATAAAGTAGAGTATACTACTCGCAATAACGGCTATTATTCCCTCGGAATGTTACTCCCTCGCCGCTAACGCGGCTCAGTTCGTAATAATCCTCGGGAATAATAGCTATCATTATTGACTCGTGGTATAATCTACTATTATTTCCTACTTAACTATTATAACCATATAATACCTTGTTTACGATAATCATAAATAGGGTCTTAACTCCCAAGGGAGTTGAAGGATTTCATGACTCCCGCGCGGGAGTTAAGGATATCATAACTCCCAAGGGAGTTAAGGATTTCTATAAGTCCCGCTTTTACCTTGAATAGGTAAAACTTTGAGAAAAAATAGAAATTATGGTTTATTCCTTTATAAAAATGGACAAAATACAGTAAATTCAGTAGGAAGTAAAATTTTCTATGTACCACGAGCATTATCAGGTGTTAATATTCACGGGCAATTGGTATACCTCGGGCCAAATGTCCTCGGGACACAAACTTTGCCCTGGGGTATTAACATCCTCATAATTCCATTGATACATAAATAACTATAATAATATATATTTTTTTTTTTTAGATAAGCAGAAACAACATCGCGATACACGTTGTTTCTGCTTAGTTGAAGTAAATCCCACGACGTTATTCGAAAAAGTTCCTTGTTTCCTTATACGCGATCCTGTCTTTTATCGTGGGGAGCTCTTTTGCTACAGAAAGGATGATCTCGAATCAACAATCACAAAGGTTTATTGATAAAGTGTTTTCATTCGGGTTTAATAGCCGTCGCCGTAGCACGCGTGTCTAGCATCTTCAGAGATTCTGGTAGCAGACTGACGCGTTCCCGACCGTAAGTTGTATTTATGTGTGATTGGTTGTGGTGGGGGAGGGGCGGGTCTCCGCAGCACGTGGCTAATCTGAACTTTCTCTGTACTCAATGGAATCTTTGTTGCGTTTTTGGGTATCGGGTTCCAAATTTGGTTGAGTTTTAGTGTTTCTTCTTTCGTGTTGAAGTTATCCGTATGTTTGTGGTTTTCTATAGCTTCATTCACAAGACGATTCTGGTATCCGGAAGTCGGTGGAAGAAGCTCGACCTCACCAAATAGTATATCGTGATTCCCTTCATTAAGCGCATGCTCCGCTACTGCCGATTTTTCGGATTGTCCTAGTCTGCAGTTTCTTTTGTGCTCGTTGATACGCTGTGTGGTTTTGTTTTTTTCCGGATTTCCTTATGAGTACATCTAAGAAGGCGATTTCTTGGTTTTTCTACTTTTCCATGGTAAATTGTATGCTAGAATGTTGCGCGTCCAGGTGGCCTAGGAACTGGTTGAGCTTCCCTTTCCCGCGAACCCAAACCACAATGGTATTATCTACGTATCGAAGCTATACCGTTGGTTTGTGGTCAAAAGATTCAATAGCTTTCCTCTCGAAATCCTCCATAAAGAAGTTGGCTATGACCGGGCTGAGCGAACTTCCCATAGTTACACCATCCGCTTGCTCGTAGAAAACGCCGTTCCACAGGAAGTAACTACCAGTGAGACATGTCCCGAAAAGCTCAACTATGTCAATGGGAAAGGTACTTGATATCAAGTCAAGAGATTCCGTCAATGGCACTTTTGTGAATAGAGACACGACATCAAAGCTGACCAGGATATCCTTAGGTTGGAGAATAATATTCATCTACAGGTCATCTACCCTAACAGACATGGTTAAGAAAGGCATAATAAAAACAGAAGCGCTTCCACCACGACTCTACGGCCTACCCAAAATTCACAAACCTGAATTCCCACTAAAGGTACGGTTTGTTAGGGCAGTGCGCGACGCACAACTAACATTCTGTCGAACGCCGGGCACGTCTGCTAAAATCAACCGAGTGTAAATACTATAGACTGGTTTCTTGGCTTTGCGCAGGTGAGCGCGACGTAAAGTATCAGCAGTCTGTCAATGTCGTGCTGAATAGATTCTGCCGACGTTTACGTTGTGAGTTGTACGTTGCGCACTGTCCTAAGAAACCGTACCTTAAGACCCATAGTGAGTGCAGCTGGAGCACCAACGTACAAACTAGCGAAACATCTTGCAT